GAAAACAATAACACAGGTTGACTAAATTCATTAAGAGAAATCATAACACGCGTTGACATATAGTCCTATAAGATAAAATCATAACACAAGAAGTTGACATAATAGTTATATATGAACAAAACATAACACAAGTTGACATAATAGTTATATATGAACAAAACATAACACAAGTTGACATATAGTTCTAAATGTAAGTCGACATCGTTCAATATGAGAAATCATAACCCATGTTGACAGATTCTAAACTGTTCGATACGGGAAATCATAAGACCGGTTGTATAATCATAAACTACTAGACCCAAACACGAATAACAGCCATCTGAAAGTCTGTCTCGATGCAAGACGGGACAATTGGTCTGTTAAGATTTCAACCTTGAGTAGCCTGTGTAGGTGTCTGTCTTTGTCGGGAAGTAAGGGGAGGATTGGGGATAGGTCGTGGCTCCTATTCTTACATGATTCCACAGTCCGGGACAGGCACTGAATCTCAGATGACTGCAAGGCCTCGAGACTCTAGACTACCAAAATCGAAATCGATGTTCTTAGTGTGAAGACAGGCCAGTAACTAGAGCAATCCCAAACCCCTCCTCCGTGAACAAATTTGGCCCCTCCTGAAAAATTTAGATGGGTTAAATGAGTCGTCGCTATAGTTGAGCGATAATTATTTTCACCTGGGTGAAAATAATTATCACCTAGGTGAAAATTAAAGTTTTTAATTAAAAATTACAAGAATTATCACCTAATTTTCACCTAGGTGAAAATAATTATCACCTAGGTGAAAATTAAAGTTTTTAATTAAAAATTACAAGAATTATCACCTAATTTTCACCTAGGTGAAAATAATTATCACCTAGGTGAAAATCAAAGTTATTAATTCAAAATTAATTTTCACCAAGTAAAAAAAAAGTTTTTAATTCTAAATAAAAAGGGGAAAATGTCGTATGTGAGCCACCGTAGACATCAGATCTTGAACTTTTTGATATGGCTAAATCATAACACAAGTTAATAAGTCATAAACGAAAAACTATAAACCAATTATAGATTTTTGTTTTATTGATAAATCGAACTGTGTGATAAAGGAAATATCAAACTGCTAAATTGCAGCTCGTTTTCGTAATCCATTAGAGAATGTCATTTAAAATTGGATTTCAGCTTGTGTTCACTTTACTGCATTTGTTTTAATGTTGCGATGTAACGTGCTCATTTGTACAATCTTATAACTTAAAAATATCGATATTTCATAAACATAAATCATAGTAATTTCCTTTATGTTATTGATAAATATTCAGGAAATCCGATATTCGTGCATGGAACTTTATGAATTTTACATAGGTAATAATTCATTTCCTTAATCTATAGGATATTCTTAACGTATTTAATATCTCACGGGAGAAACTGTCCTACAAAAATTACATGAAAGTAGGTCAACAAGAAATAGACACTCATCAGAAGAATTCTATCTAATACCTTGACTGCAATGGTCACCTTTCTTCTGTCACAACAGTTTGTAAATGCAGTGATTTGGTTGATTTGAACATAAGCGAACACAGCCAATCAGAGGCAGTCTGTAAACAATAATCACTGCATTCCGTGAAACAGGTAGCAGTTGCATTCAAGGTATAACATGAAGTTCGTTATACCCTGATCACTGTACAGATGATCAGAAGTAAGGAACTGTTGCTAACTGTTGAGCAAACATGATATGATGAAATACAGTTTATTGTTTTGGCAATGGCGTCGTGATGTCGACCATGAAACGTTTTAATTGAGACTTTCAAATTTGAAGATAATCGTTAAGCGACAGTAAAATAAAATAACGGAACACCATTATATATATATTATTATACTCATGGGTTGCTTTTTTTACAATGATGATGACAATGTAAATTGTTGAAACAGGAGTAGTATACCGTAAAATTGAGTCCCGTAATTTTATTTTGGGGATCGATATGTTCGTGTACGTTTACAGAGAGAATTATATATCCCCAAATTAATACAACTCTTTCAATAAACGTACTCGAATATAGCGAATAAATTGAAAAAGATTCTTGCCATAGGTTGACGAGTTGAATATTAAAGAAAAGATAAACAATTAGTAAATTAAAATACAGTCTTACAGATTGTTCAGGGTGACATTCGTGTCCGATAAGTAAATCTAAATAGGCTTTGTTTGTCAAATCCCTTGTGTCCTTAATCTCTTATTTATCAGAATGTTTTTTGTACGGAGTCCGAGAAGCTATTATTATTCTTTTTATTCAGGAAGCTAATATTATTACTCATGGACAAAGCATCGTCAAGATATATATACGTCGCTTTTTAAAAGCGATTGCCTTCATAGAGCACTAAATTAAGTCGCTTAACATAAGGGACACAATTAGTTTCCATGGGGATACCGACAATTTGATAGAATTTTGCGTTATTGTTTTTGTTCTTTTTTTCCTAACCGAAGAAAACATAGATTCTATCCTTAAAGATAGGTTTCCTTATTTTAAATCAAATTAAGCAAATTATTTGATTAATTGGTGTTTCTAATAAATTATCATATATTCTTAAATATATCATTATGTCCTTATTGCATGTAATTAAGAGTTTCAACCAACTATAAATGTCCATGTACTATGTACAGTCTGGATAAACAAAAAAGACTTTTTGACCTTTCTTGATCGGTCACACATTGGTATTTTGCTGGTAATTCTTTCTTATTTAGCTTATTATGAATTAATTATGGACATGTGAGACAAACTGGTATTTTTCCACGTCACTAGAACACCAGGCTGTACTTTCTATATATATAAGTATTAGTATTTTCATTTTCATAAATGAAAATAAGGGAACCCATCTTTTTAATGAAAATATTGATTATTTCGACAACTTCGTTCACCTTATTCAATATTCGATTTATAATATGTAGGCTATAGCATACAACAATACAATAACAAAATAAATCATTGTTAAAGTAGTGCTCTATACATCAATAATGTAGAGCGATATAGAAATATTGAAACAGAACCTAAATAAAACATGTTGTTACTCAAGAGTTTCATGCTATGCGATCTTCAGACAACTGATCTATTGTCAGCCAGCCTGCATCCCCACTGAAGTAGCACATTCTCATGTCTACATTTTGAGAAGAGTTCAGAATGTTTGTTTTAAGAAGCGTACTTACAGGCATTAAAGATGGAAAGCTTTTCATTTAAACACAGGTTACATTGTTTGATTTTATTTGTGTAGGCTTTAGCTTTTTTGTATTTTCTTCTAGGAGCGGGCGGCCCCTTAAGGTGTGGGCTCCCGTCAACTTTGTTCAACCAGTCCCAATGGTAGTTGAGGCACTGTCTTAATTATATATTATATTATATATATTATTCTGTAATGTTTATTGTCTAACCAGTCCCAATGGTAGTTGAGGCACTGTCTTAATTATATATTATATTATATATAGTATCCTGTTATGTTTATTGGTGCTTCTGGAGTTTTGGGACCCTGGACATTATTATTGGGTGATCCCATTGTATTCTTCACTTTTCATGTGAGCTGATCGAACCTAACATCTAACCTTTCAATCAAGTTAAAAGTCTGGAAAAATTCTCACGAAAACAATTATATTTTTTTCTTTCCTAAAGCTTTCCTTAGTTTCTTCATATATAAGAACGTTGTTAATTGAAATTATTACACATTGTACTTAATAAATTACCTTTCCTTTCAGATGAACAAACTAAAAGTGAACCATTGTGTCATCCCACATCACACTATAGGCAATGTTTGGCTGAAAAATGTTCAAACCAAATTGGTCTAATCATTTGCATCATTAGAGTCATAATTTGTTAGGATTACTCGTATCTAACTTAACACAAATCACCGAGTTTTCGTAAATAAATTTAGATTTGATAAATTTTGGTGACTATTAATAATAGTATTATTATGTTATTAGCTTTTTCTGCTTCCAAAATCACATTTGTATAATTGATTACGAAAAGTCACAATTGCCGCAATTAACAAGATCATAGCTTGGTTCAGTTTTTAGAATGTTAAAGATCCCCCAGCTGTGCTAACAAATTTTCCCTCTTTGCACACTACATGGTGTTGCCCGTTTTCGTTAGCCCAAGTAGGTGCAGAGTAGGGCGTAAAACTCCATTCAATTCATTTCTGAATGGTTGTAATCTTGGTCATCCAGCTGACAAACCTCAAAATATGCTCAACAGTTTTGGTTTAATGGCCTTTAAAGACGGAAACCACCTTCGACACCGGGATTATCCGACAATAACTCTGAAAACTTTCTCAGGTAATTGCCCCTCCAATAGCGCTTACTGCACTTATTCCACCGAACCCTATGTCATCATCGTTGACAGTCCTCACAATTGGCTATCAATTATTCTAAACGCTACAAGCCTGGTCTAAGACGCATGTGGCGGAAACTTATAAATATATTAGTCCTCAAGCGACGTCAAAGTTGGTGATCACATAACGAAGCGAAATTTTATGGTATACTACTCACGGGTTATATTGTGCACATTGTTTAAAAAAAATTTTCACCAAGTATATCAAATATAATGATATAGGTTGGTGTGGAACAACCTCTTTACTCGAGATATATTTAAAATTGATTTATATCTACTTTGGATCTGAAGTAATGATTAATATTTAATTTGCCTCGGTTGTTATAACTTTACAGACGCAGTATTCAAATGAACAAACAAACTCATTCGTTGTCATAGTAAATGGACTAGAATTCCATAAAAGGTAAGTTCTAATGTTTTCTGGATTTTTCAACTGACGCGAGCCGTTGTTTTATAAGCAAGTTGTTTAAGATACTTTGACCAATATTTTAAACAATTCTCAAATTTGATTTATACATTTAGTTTAACAATGGTTTCAATTATCCGAGACAAAACGTATTGATAATTTTTTCACGTTATATTATGTTATTAGGGATCCAGATATAGTTTCAACGCAGAGTTATTTTCCCAGATGAAGTTCTTATATCATATCGTTTGAGGAAATTCAAAATGCGTTTATTGCAGTATATTTGGATGATTGGTATGATAATCGGTACTGTTTTGAGCAGTTCACACGGTGGGTTATTTTTCTAAATTGTTTTACCGTGATGTTGCAACAAGGGCCAAATGATTTTCGTTCAACTGCGACCGATCGGACGCTGATCTGATAATCACAAGTCGAACTGAGCTCACATTATGAAACAAATAAGATGTTTTGTGTTGCGTTAAATTTCGGATGGAAGATGAGTTATTGAAACATCAATAACTGGTGGTCAATTGGAGAATCTGATCAGTCGTCAGATTAAATCGACCTGAGTGCACCACAATTACTTTTGTTCAGCTTTATAAAAAGAGATGAATCTGCCAGACTGTAGCTATGGGCCTGCAGATGATCGTAGATTCTGACCACTAGTATCGCTTCCAATGTTAGATTCACCAGTCGATCCCATGGTGTCTTTACAACTTATGTGTTTTCAGAAGGTTATTTGTAAAGGTATTTTGTGTTTTCAGAAGGATATTTATACATCGGTTGTTATGGTAATGTGTTTACAGGATGTAAATCTAATGGTATTATTCAGGATATAAATGTTGAAAAATGTGACAAACAATGTACCGGTGAGTCAATTGTTAATAATAGCTATACAAATTAATAATTTAATTGACGTTGTGGAGTGGCAGAAATATATGCATACCAAGTGTCACCAATTGTTCAAAAAAGCGCTCACGTTTGTTTATCTCGAAATATATGCATCGAAATTTTCATGGATTGTTGCAGGTTTATACGGGCTGACTTGTCAAATCCATATTTGGATACGATGGTTGCCACCCATTCTTTGTACAAACCTAAAACCAAATAATGGCGCGATTTCGGAACTTTCCTATCAAGATCGATAACTGGAATACCATCCTGAAAATAGTACTGTTAGTCTTGAAATGCCTTTGTGTTGATGAAAATATAGTTTTTTGTTAATTTTGAAAAGAAGTATATTCCCCTCAGAAATTTCAACCCAAAAAGGTCCAAATTTTGATTGAAAATTGTCTTTTTAAAATTTAATTTTGAAGAGATAATGTGTGCTCGTGTTTATATTTTTATCGGCGTAAAGACATTTAAAGTTTTATAGTACTGTTTGGGGCTACTATTCTTGTTCTCCTGAAAATAATAAAAAAAATTCAAAAAACGTTTTACTTTGCTCGGACAATATAGGATAAACTATTCTGTTCATATCTTGTCATCCACAAGGAATATTCATATTTTGCTACAGTCATACACACCAAAATATATAACAAACATATATAGGTCGAGCAATATAAACCAACCTGTCAGCGTTTTAGAAGTTTGTAGTTAGAAGAATAGGATTTGGTTCGAACCGACATGTACAACACTAAAACATTAGTTAATAGCCAGACATTTTTCGTTGATTGTGGTTTAGATGAGCATAATATTCTTAACACAACCAATAATCATCCGCTAATCACCGTTGTTTTATTCAGATACATTTTATCTTTCAGGTTATGTGTATATTGCTATCTATAACGGTAAATCTTGCTACTGTTGTAATGACGACAATTTCTCTATTAGCAATAAAATAACAGCTTCAAACTGTAATAAAGCATGTCCTGGTGATTTACAAAGCTTATGTGGCGGCACTGGAGCTTATAAATCTTATACTAGCCTTTATTCTAGACGAAATGATAAAACTATATCGCTTGGTAAGTACAAGTCTGATTATAAACTAAGTACAAGTCTGATTATAACCATGGCAAGTACATGTTTGGTTGTAAACATGATAACTACAAATCTGATTATAACCATGGCAAGTACATGTTTGGTTGTAAACATAAGTCTGATTAAACACATTCTTTTAAAGTGTCTGATTATAAACATGTTAAGTACATGTCTGATTACACATGCTTTTTATGTGTCTTATAATAAACATATAGGTACATGTATGATTATAAACTGAGCAAGTACATATCTGATTATAAACTTGGAAAGTTCATGTTAGGTTATGAACGTGGTAAATTCATGTCGGATTGTAAACATGGTAAGTATATGTCTGATTATAAACAAGTTCAATACATGACTGATTATTAACATTTCTTAAGTATGTGTTTGATTATAAAGATTGTAAGTACAGGTTTGATTATAAAGATTGTAAGTACAGGTCTGATTATAAAGATTGTAAGTACAAGTCTGATTTTAAACGTAGTAAGTACAAGCCTGAAGATTTGGAAGTGTATGATGTACTTCAATTTTCTTATAATTATTCTAATGTCTAATGATATGATATGATGTTAACATAACGCGAATACGTAGTCAGTGATTGTTTTTACATTGCAGAGACGATTAATATATACACAACAACCACACAAATAATGGAAATCAGCACTAAAATCGAAACACAAACCACGACAATATTACCAAGTCCGATTACCACAACACATATTGTACCATGTCCATCATCAGCTAATGTTGAAACACTAACCAAGACACAAATGATGGAAATCAGCACTAAAATCGAAACACAAACCACGACCATATTACCAAGTCCAATTACCACAACACATATTGTACCCTGCCCATCACCAACACAGCTACAGCTTTGTCCAACTCCTGCTATATCTGTCTCTTCAATGGTATTCAGTTTAAACGCAACAAAGCCAATAGTTTCAACAAAAAATGTCGATGGACTGACGGTACAAAAATCCAAAGCATGTTTCATTTTTAAAATTACGTAAACGCACTAAGTTCTCGGCCATTAGAAACGTGAAAAGTGAGAAAACTCGGATTACCGGAATTGAGAAACAGTTACAGTAACGCCGTGAATTGAGATGGTGACCATGTGACGTTTCTAGGAAACATTAGATGAGGGGGTCGAGCAGGGGTCATAAAATTTTTCAGGAGGAGGGCACAGGATATTATTTCACTCTGTAAGATAGTGGACCACAGCCATATACGCCCACCACGACATGCAGATGGTAAATATTCAAGATTTTGGGGCAAGGGCAATAACTCTGTTTCTAACGATCGAAAAAAGCATTTTTTGAATATGTATACACATACCGAATTTCATTCGATTCCATTAAAAAATCTAGTTTTTAGAGCGTTTACAAGCAAATGTTGACGGACCGACGGACGGACAGGGGTGCCGACAATAAACGTCCACATAGAGAGATGTGGGCGTATAAAAATGATACAAAATTCCATTCTGGGGTCCTCAAATAAACAGTTGATATTTGCTGTGATATCATTAATGTTTTAGTGACATAATTTCCCGTTGACTGGCAGAAGAAATTGAAGTTTCTGTAGTGTCATAAACCTTGTAAACTGAGATTTTGGGGTTGAGTGTATTTTAAATATCCAGTTCATTAGGATGAAATTATAACATCATGTGGCAATCATCTCCAGCGACCGCCCGCTTGAAACACTGTTGACATATAATCTAAAGGAAATGGTTGTTATTTCCCTTCTTCCAATCTATTCTGTTTAATATACGGCTTTAGATAATGTTGTTTTGTGTTCTTACATTTACCAAGGGTCAATTAAGTGGAGATTATTTCAAATCTCATTTGACTGCATTTCTTTTAAATCTTTGAATCGAAAATTTGTAGTTTTCACTAATATCCCACGATCTCAAATTTTGAATACTTTTAAAGTACTGTATAGACCTGCCGAGAGATGAATGGCTATGGACCTTGTCGCATCAAATTCCAGTGCTGTAAGCTGGTCAGTGGCGTTTCTAAGAAACAGTAGGTGAGGGAATCGAGCAGGGGTCACGACATATTTTCACTTTGTAAAGTGATAAAAAAAAAAAGCATCTCTCCGCTCCTACTGGTGCAAATCCAGTGCCGTAAACTGATTGAGCTTAGACTCAGTTGCAATCTCGCATTGCTACATGCATTTGTCCTTATGGCAGATGGTAACTTCTCTTTCTCAGTAATGTCCTTACGAACAATTTGTCTGTATGGCTAGCTTTAAGAAATCTTCCCTACGAACAATTTGTCTGTTCTGTATGGCTAGCTTTAAGAAATCTTCCCTACGAACAATTTGTCTGTATGGCTAGCTTTAAGAAGTCTTCCCTACGAACAATTTGTCTGTTCTGTATGGCTAGCTTTAAGAAATCTTTCCTACGAACAATTTGTCTGTATGGCTAGCTTTAAGAAATCTTCCCTACGAACAATTTGTCTGTATAGATAGCTTTAGGCAATCTTCGCTAGCTTTAAGAAATCTTCCCTCCGAACAATTTGTCTGTATGGCTAGCTTTAAGAAATCTTTCCTACGAACAATTTGTCTGTATGGCTAGCTCTAAGAAATCTTCCCTACGAACAATTTGTCTGTATTGCTAGCTTTAAGAAATCTTCCTAAACGAACAATTTGTCTGTATGGCTAGCTTTAAGAAATCTTCCTAAACGAACAATTTGTCTGTATTGCTAGCTTTAAGAAATCTTCCTAAACGAACAATTTGTCTGTATGGCTAGCTTTAAGAAATCTTCCTAAACGAACAATTTGTCTGTATGGCTAGCTTTAAGAAATCTTCCCTACGAACAATTTGTCTGTATAGATAGCTTTAGGCAATCTTCGCTAGCTTTAAGAAATCTTCCCTCCGAACAATTTGTCTGTATGGCTAGCTTTAAGAAATCTTTCCTACGAACAATTTGTCTGTATGGCTAGCTCTAAGAAATCTTCCCTACGAACAATTTGTCTGTATTGCTAGCTTTAAGAAATCTTCCTAAACGAACAATTTGTCTGTATGGCTAGCTTTAAGAAATCTTCCTAAACGAACAATTTGTCTGTATGGCTAGCTTTAAGAAATCTTCCTAAACGAACAATTTGTCTGTATTGCTAGCTTTAAGAAATCTTCCTAAACGAACAATTTGTCTGTATGTCTAGCTTTAAGAAATCTTCCCTACGAACAATTTGTCTGTATGGCTAGCTTTAAGAAATCTTCCTAAACGAACAAATTGTCTGTATTGCTAGCTTTAAGAAATCTTCCTAAACGAACAAATTGTCTGTATGGCTAGCTTTAAGAGATCTCATGGATGACAATATCTTTACCCTTTCTCTCGACATCTGCACAGAGAATTAGGTTAGAATGTACTGTTACTATCAGTTAAATTAAGGACAGGTCATGGAAATGTTCATACAAGTCGTATGCGGTCAAGCAAATAGCTCACAAGAATCTCATCATTGCAATCTATGGAGTTATAGTCTCTTATAAATAGTTAAATAAGTCAGTGCTTTATAATTTTTTAATTTTTTTGTCTACATTCTGTAATGTTGAGTAAATGTATTCAAATTAATGGTTATTAAATTGACTATGATTTTAATGACATATTTCATATTTTTTTTGTCTGGTGTTTTTTTTCTTTGAGATCTATTTACAAAATAACAAACTATTTACAATTTTAAATTTCTAAAAATACTTGGAACCATTTCTGGCCAAATTTTTATGATATAAAAAATTAATACCATTATAAGAATGCAAAAAATAACAATATGATTTTGTGCTTAAATTAGGCACACTAAAAAAATACCGCAAACTTTAATATAGGCTCTGATAATTATAATAATAATAACATAAGATAAAAAAAAAACTTAAAGTGGCTATATACAATGTTTTCTTAGTATTTTTCGTATTGCATAATTCTTGCTGCATGTATCACAAAAACAGTATTTAAGTATATGGTTTCCTTGCTTCAGTTTCATTTCATTATTCATTCTTGTATATAGCCACTTTAATATCACGAAAATATTTTTCTCTTTTTTTCTTTGCATTTTTTATGGTTAATATGGTTCAAAATCACTCTGGCCTATCGAAAGCATGCATCTTCTGAAAGTATGTGATTATTCTTCTTTTAGTTCCATTTCTAGGTATTAAGGGGGATTAATGTTGCATATCCATGACAACAATATAAATATATATCTATGTGATATAAAGTAAAAAGGGGGTTTAATTTATATATACGTGTTATATATAAATATGGGTTATACTAAAACCCTAAAGAAGAATCTTAATAAAAAAAAAGAGAAAAAATTACTGACTAAGGTGCATCTTGCTTTAATAGTTCTTCTGCAAAATTAATCTAGAGCTAATTCTTGCGGTTCCTCAAAGCTTATTAGCAGCATTTTTTAAAGTTAGAAATTTGAATATCTCTCGCCGAGTTCAAATGTTTCATTTTTTAGTCGCTTTGACTCGAAATGGACGTGTTCACAATTTATGGAATGTTTCGTTTGACGCTCATAGCAATTACATATCAAATTTTGGCAGCAGTATCGTTTAAATTTTTTGATACAAAACATACGAAAATAGTTTCAATTAAAAAATAAAACAAAAGGCAACAATTTGTTTCCATGTAACAACATAGGAAAACATTCATCCAAAAACCAGTTTGGATTTTTCAAGGCATTTTACTTGAAATCTTAAGCTCATTCAGATAACAATAATATCAGGGGAAAGTACCAAATAGATTCCTTCATACAAGTACATAATTGAAAATTTCATTTTGCATAAATTATCATAAATTAACACTTAATATTATTCTTTTGTAAACAAAATTTCTGATTAATTTAACTAAAGAAACATTCTATAAATCTTTTCAAAACTAAAACAAGAACTTAAATAATAAATTTTGTGAATATCTTAATAAAGTGAAATTAAAAACTTAAAAATCAGAGCAAGCTCATCGTCCATTCTCTGTAAGATCCAGTCTTTTTTATCTAAAGAAATTTTCACAATATTTGAAATTGACCCTTTGAAGTGGAAACTTGTGCCTCAATTCAACAGTAAAAGCCCATAAAAAATGTGTCATATCTACAGATGCACCAATATCCAAAATATTGTGAAACTTTCTCTAGATATCTACGCCTTCAGTAGTTTTTGTTTAACTTCTAACACTAGGTTGTTCAAACGAAAAATAAATTTAAAAGTCTAAAAGTTTCTGAACAGTAAATAAGGATTAGAAGTTGTAAATACATGTATATATGTATTGTGTATAAGAGTAATTGGGCCCTATATGGCAAAGGGTTATACTTCATTATAATATTCATAATATTTTTTTTGTGTTAATAATTATTTGAATAAATGCAGCAAAATCACTCATTTCACTTCAAAATAAATAAGCATGCATTGAGTAATGCATTAATGAACTATTTTCACTTAAAAAAAACTACTGAATATATGCATATTTTGTTATTTACGTCAAATCCCTATAACGTTGGTCCTTCAAAGTGAAGAACAGTCAAAAACTTTGTTTCTAAAGGAATCCAAAAACACTTCAAACTCAAAACTATTCTGAATGTTTGATTTTTCAAACCAAACCTAATTTTATTGTACATTTTTACAATTTTTTGTATAATTTCATCAAACAATTATAGGGATATTTTTCACTGGGCTTCATTGTGTAGATTCTGGTACATTTGAGTGAATTCGGGTTTGTAGAGCAGCCACCACATGACCAGGTTAAAGGGAGTACATCATCTACACATTGGAGAAGCCCTGAAACGGACAATGGTCTTACTAAATAAATAGTATATAGGTAAAATTACAACCTTTTAGTTTAAAAAGACTAGTCTACAATTATTTATATACTTATTAGACCTATAGTGTTTATATTCAAAATCTTAAAGATGGACTGTCCCATAAATTTTTCCAATAAAAGCAGAAAGCATAGTTTTTTTTACCAACGTCAAAATGTGTTTACAATTGCAGCTTTTGCATCTTATATCAAATACAATGGAGGGATACAAACAATTTAAGGCAATTAATCAGTGTTTATATTTGACATAGCTGCAGACTGTTTTCATAATTACAAACCCTTCTACCTTTAAAAGAGAAATTAACGAGAAAGAGCTCCTTGAAAAAGAAAGAGTGTAGAGGAAAGGCTTAAGATATAATATAGAGTCAAGCTCAAAATTAAAATGGCTACCTCAAAACAAAAGCCCAACCAATGTTAACTTACCAGCCCAATGCTGTTATTTTTTTGATTGGAAAATCGTAAATTCTTGATTAGTCACTCTGAATGGTATCGAGTAATTATTTCGAATATTGATGAAATGATAATGATATGATTACACATATGATAATGTTATTTTTTAAAAAATAAAAAAAATGATTTTCAATGATGATTTGAATTATCGAGGTAGCATAAAATGATAAATTAAACTGTTTTCTCCCCAACTTGGTGGATTAAACTTGGCAAATTTTTCGAAGAATTTGCATAATTTATTTTGATTTTGTGGGAACATGAATCTAAAGTACTAGGTGCCAAAAGAGGTAGCCATTTTAAGGGAAGTAGCACCAAAAAACCTTTAAACGTTTTTTAACAAAAATTCTTAAATTTTTTCAGTAATTCTTTGAAACCTTCATTCAAATTACAGATTTTATCAATTTTCTGGAACCAAAGGTCAAATAGAACCAAAGGTTAAATAGAATATAAGGTCAAATAGAACCAAAGGTCATTGGAATCATTAGATATTAATTTGTTAGTTGGCTGTTAAACTTTGACGACGAAATATTATTTTATGAATCTAGTACTCTTGAGCTTTTTTCCCTGATAAATATATATATAATATATTTGTATTTTTTTGTGTTTTTTTCTTATTTATAATATAAAACTACATCTTTTTTCATATTTCACAAAAAATTTGGAATTAATAACATATATGGACGATATAATTATTTTTAGAATAAAAAAAGGTTTTTATTATCGCCATTCTATTAACAATTAACTCTCCCCTTGGTGCCGTTCTCATAACCAGGTTAATAAATTGTCCATTTTATTAGACTGAAGCACATTTTCTACATCCTTTAATAAATCATTACTGATGGCTTCCTGCAATATAAAATGAAAAATACATTTAGTCCAAAGAAGACCAAACCTTTTTTGCTAGTGCATAAGTGCAACATTTGCAAAAGACTGTCAAAATTGCTCAAGGCATTTCAAAGCCAGATGATACCATTCCAAGATTCATTTTAATATACACCACGAGGACATGTTATGTTGTGTCTTAACACACCATTAACTAGTGCTACAAAATATCTCCATTAAATAAAGTGTTTTTGATGGACTAATGGGGATAGGCCTACTACAAAAAATTTCAAACTTTTAAAAATTTTTAGAACTTCCTTGGTAAATCAAAATTTTATCTTTGACATTTACATATCATTTTAAAACATTAGCCTACTGATATATTAGATTGTTTCCGATTGAAATATAAATTTTTGTAGCATTTATTTGATTTGAAAAATGCCCTCTGTAAGAACAATTTTCAAAATGATAATGTGTGTGCTCTATTTATATTTTTATCAGCGCTAAGACATTCCAAGACTATCAGTACTATTTTGAATCTGATATTCCAATTCTTATATAAATAATTGGTAAAATTTAATGTACCAACGAAATAAAGTTACCGTACATAATATAATATACTCACATTTAAACTAGGCACCAAATCTTCACTTTCCATATTACTCTCTCCACCATCAACGCTGCCAACATTCGATATGTCCATTGTACCAAAGTCCGTTTGACTTTGTAGTTTGGGTCCTACAAAACAGTTCAGTTATAGGTTTAAATCAAGAGATTATATATTAGTTATCTCCCTTTACTTGGGTCTTGATATTATACCATCAGAATATGGTACTGACCAATGGGCTTTTGGTTTACAAAACTTCATAAATGTGGCTTAAGCTACAAATGGTCATTGGTCAAGAATAAAATATGGACCGTCGAATGCTTATTATTTTTATTTGGCTTGGAAAACTATTAATTCATCACAGAGGAAACCAATATATATATATATGTCAAAATCCGCAATCCTCAAATAAAAGCTGACATGACCACTGCAAGGTAGACATGAATTTCCAAATATAGATACGAAAAGCTCCTTTCATTGTAAGTAGAAACAGTTGAACAGGGAAACATCTAAAAAAGAATGCATAATAAACTTACCCCCATCTTGTGAATCCATTTCTTCCATATTGCCAAGGAAATCATCAGGAGTTCTTGATAAACTATAACTTGTCCCCATTCCTCCTGTTTTATAAATATAAACATCCAACTTCAAACAATTGAATTGAAAGGAATTTAACATCCTAGTGTTCTTTCATGGACAATGCCATGGAGTGTGCAATGAAGGATAATTTGTGCATAGCTACTTCAGTCTACTCCATTAAATTTTCCAATTGTTTAGCCTATCAAAATGCTCAGCCTTCAGCACAGTGAAATTTGAACATATTTCTCCAAATGGACATTTTCAATTTTATCACAAAAAGTAGTCTGTCAAATCTTGCTAATTCATTTATTAATTGAGCTGGCAAATTCTGTTTATAGTTCGGTAATAACTGTATAATTCATGTTAAACATGCGAAACATTTTAGAAGTTACTTCATAAATGCATCAAGACTTTAAATGGATTTTTAATTAGACACAGAAAGAAATGAATAACAGAAAATAACATACCAAGTCCACTATCAGAACTTTCCTGTCTTGTGTGATCGGACGTACCCGATTGACTCAAAAATGGATCAGTGACAGAAGTCATCTCACTAGCTTGTGATATGGTAATATCGGTGATATTTTCGGTACTTGCTGGATGTTGTATATTACCAGTACGTAACATCAGTTCCTGGAAATTATAAAACATATTCTGTTCGTTCAACATGAGGTTTATGTACAATATCTAATGAAGCCTTGATCAAATAGAACTCTATGGATGCCTTTGAATCCAATTTTATTTGGTTTTAGCAAACATAACTCCTTAGATGCACCAAGTTTCTGAATATAAGCTCTAAGCTCTGAAAGCTGAAGCATCAATTATATATACTGTATACCGAATTTCCAGAATTATTATTGAAAGTTCTAGGTGCAGCAATACTGGCTGGTTTTTTAGCTAAAGTATTTGTCTGACTAACTAAAATAAGACTCTGATGGTGCCTCTGGCATAGTTAGATTCCGATGAATTGAGAAGAAGCTTCATTTCACATTACATTAACTGAAGCAGTTACAATGATGCAATAAAGATCATTGAAAAAATGCATGTCCACTGAACACAATTAGGCATTTGGAATATGTCTTTGCCAATTGCCAACAAAATTACCAAATCAGTACTTCTACCACTCTTTGGTACCAAAAAAAAGGCAAAGACAAACCCAGACCCTGTAAAATACTTAAATAGACTAAAAGTCATAAAAATCTTATCAGTAACATCTTTATATCTCCCTGTTCAATAAAACTTTAATAAAACATATTTAGTGTAAAATCAAAAAAATAGAAAAAAAACTTCAAAAGAAATCTTTTGCCTGTGATCACGGTCAAGCATTGATGAAGAGTTATCTAACACCAGACATCAGACATGGTTAAACTTTGCGCTTAACTAATTTCAGATCTTTATGTTCATTAATTATTCTATCCATTTCATCTTCACTGAGTTTTGTCAATAAGATCATTTCTACTTTAAAGCACATAATCAGGTTTACAGCCACCACTGATCTAGTAAGTCTACCTCGACACAAACTTAATAAACTGATATCAACAACTTAATTCTATGTTTCCCCATTCAAAACTCTATTTGATTTGTAATCTTTACAGGACTGACTGATGCAACAAGTTTTTTTTATCGCATCTAGATTTTTAAAGGGTTAATGTTCTCAATTGCAAAAGAAACCATATGAGTCATTCAATCAATTTAAAAAGTTAAAATCTAAAACAGCGAAATGACTTTTTTCATGGACACTAAGTTTTGTGTATTATAACTTCTTCTTTGGTGTATAAATTTATTTGATTCCTATTTGTTCATGAAAATTAGTTGATCTAATCAACTTTCTTTCACAACTCACTGTGTGTAATTATTCTATAAATTAATGAAAACTATTCAAGACAATGGTAGCATTGAAAATAAGTCTCTTGTTTGCAAAGATACATAACTTCTTGGATTGCAGACAAAGAATCTTTCAAAACTGAACGCTCAATCAAAAAATAATGATTTCAAATTTCTGCCATTTTCTAGTGAATGCAAAATTGTTCGATCAGAATGTTTGTTTTATTACGTTCAGTGGATGTTCACCCCTGCTACGTAATTTGATGCCAGACCCAAGTCATGTGTTTAGTCTCTGCCTATAAACTGGAAAGTTACAACTAAATATTTGATATCATTTGGTATTGTGTTTGTTTTCCGCAAGCCCTGATGAACTGTAAATAAAGCTTACAATATTAAACAATAAAAACAATGAAGCGAAAGAGAATTCAACAGACAGGAAAATCAACAGGGAATTCAGGTTTAAAAATTTGAAAAGAAAGATGCATGACATTTTTTTACTTGAGAATGATTGAGACATCTGATTGGTCAAATTGATGCTAATTAATGATACTAAACATCTCATTGGCTGCTGTTCTCTAGGCTTAATATAATTAACTACATGTAGTTCTTTTAAATTATCAAATTTGAAGTTATGATATTGTGATATATGCCAATGAAAAAGCCTAATGATTATTGTAGCTGAGATTGAACCATAGAAAAGTAGTTGCAGCAAAACCATGCAGTTATAACTAACATCAGACGTATTGACAGCATCTCAATTTTTGGAAATTTTAATGTGGGAAAATCAGACTGATGTCACAACAGCAAATAAGTTTTTTTTAAGCTGCAGGGAAAGCAAAGGTTCTGCTAAGTAGGTTACTACTCAATCAATCTCCACCAGTTGATAAATCGAATATTTAGCCAAACAATTCTGTTTTACATAACTTTAATAAAGAGAATGGTGATTTAAAGAGATTAAATTTAGAAAATTCTGTTAAAGAAATAATTACTTGTCTGGCAATCTCCTCTTCTCGTTTCTTTAACCTCTCCCGTTCAATCTTTAACTGTTGTAATCCAATCTGTACTTGACGGTGACGATCTGTCGAGTTGCCTTGCTGACACTGAGCCATGTTTGGTGACGATCCGGGGCTGTTCACCTGCATCTGTTGTTGTTGCTGCTGTTGTGCCTGCTGTTGCAGACGCATTCCTGGACGTTGTAAATGTGCAGCTGTAAAAAAGCATGTACATTATTGTACAAGCATGTACTTTACGGTTCATGTGATTTTTATTCTTAATAATGATAATAGTCTTTGACAAGTCATGGTGTTTTACCAAATATACATATATTTCAATATTTCCAGCACAGAGGTTCCCAATAATATCTTAAAGGGATTTTAAACAGGTTTTCTCAACAATTTTATGTGTATTGGGGACACTGATAGCATCATTTTGCACCATTCCAATTTTTAAGAATCTGTGGTTCCTGCAATTAAGCAAAAGCTAGGTGATGTCATTTATCGCGAAGGGCCTTATGTAATATAACATATTTTGCGATAAGTGACGTCATCAAACACTTCCTTTTTTTTGGAATTGCAGGAACCACAAATGTCTGACTTAAAATTGGAATGGTGAAAATTGATGCTATCAGTGTCCCTGATTTTACACATAACAAATTTAGAAAACTTTTTTACAATCCATTTAAGGCCTTTGAATACTTGTGGGAGTTATATCTTTTATAGCTTGAAGCTCTGTGCTAAGGACATGTTATTACTCAGTTCACATGAAGAAGTAAGAGAATAATTTGAAAATAATCTAAAGGATAAACAACTTACGAACTGAAGGGTGAAACCAACTTGTTGTCCTCTCTACATGGTGTATATAATAAACCTCCCCTTCTGGAGTATAGGCTCTCTCCCAGCCTGGCGGTAACGGTACTTTGTCTACATTGACAATTTGGGTGGGTTGATTTGGTGAGCTGCTCACAGCTGGCTGTTGTTGTGTTGCTGGTTGTTGTTGTTGCTGCTGCTGCTGCTGTTGTAATGGATGAACAGCAGGAGGAGCTTGCTGTTGTTGTTGAGGATTGTGAAGGTTTGTAGTACTCTGGGTTTTTCTGGGATCTTGCCATGTTGTTGTTTGTGTTTCATGACTGAAAAAATAAAAGAATAAAATATAACAGAATGGCTTAAATGAACATTGTTAAATTCCTAATGAGTTTCAACTTTAATGCATGTTTAAAATATATATATACAAACAATAATATAATATTTTCACTGTGCTCAATACATCAATTGTAGAGCGAAATAGAAATATCAATGTTAAAATAGTGCTCAATACATCAATTGTAGAACGATATAGAAATATCAAAACAAAACTTGAATCATGTTGTTACTGAGAGTTTAATGCTATGCAATGTGCCTGTCTGAATATTGCATAACATGAAACTCTGAGTAACAACAGCAAGTTCTCTTTTAATATTTCTATATCGTTCTACATAATATATAAATGGCTGTTTAATGTTGAAAATAAAAGGTGTCATATAATCCCAGTACCATTAGTCTTTTCATTTGTAGTCTTTTCATTTGTAGGCCCTTACTATAAACTTGTATACAATACTTGTATTATTTTGTAAATTTTGAAAAATTTGCCCATCTAGAAAGAAATTTATTTGTGCTACAGTACTTATCTGTAATATTTTGTAAATTTCTAAAAAGATTGCCAATCTTGAAAGAATGTCAGAAAACATTGATAAATTCAGCAAAATTCACAGCCCTAGGCTGTACATGGCAATATACTGTACAAGAGCAATATGTTCTGATGTATATTTATATTTAAATTCTGTGTTTGACCTGAGGTAGAGTTTATGACTAAATCAAAATGAATCACCAGATTAAAATTTATAAATTGTTTTGATATTTCAACAGGAATAGCAACTGATTATGTATTTTATTAGCTTAGTATAAATGACCCTAGTGATAATTTATATATAATATACTTCAGTGGCTACTATATTTTCTAATGAATATTTTAGGTCTAATAGTGAACTAAGTGTTCATGGTCACATTTAAAAATGTGCATTGCAGAACAAACAGAAGTATGCATCCCAACATATGAAATTCCCCAAATCGACAGGTATTTCTTCAACAAAAAAGTCACATAAAGTCAGTGTTTCCTTGTAAAAAAAGTTGTTACTGTAGACTGATTTACGTAATCTTTAACCTATTGTGTAACCTGAGACTGCACAATCAGTGTGTCAACTGTGGTATTTCAACTATTTCAAATATGCCTTTAGAAAACCGAACTACTTTTAACAAACTTTCCACTCCGTTTTTGTTTGTATATCCACCAGTATGTTTTCCTCTATACAATTTTATACTGCATCATTTACCCAATAAGCTGAATGAGAGTGTTTCTAAGTAAACACGGACCACATAGTCTGTATTAGAGGCTCGTTCAAATACACGAATGCTGCGTACCGGATGCGAAATATAGAAGGAAACACAGGGTGTTTGCCGAGACAACAACTCCTCATACTAACACTTTGTTTTATTAAATACGGTAGACAGTCGGAATCTAGTGTGTGTCAGTTAACAATGAGTTAGACAATGACAAGCGGTCATCTACATTGACCTAAACATCATGACCTGTTTATTGTAGGATTATAACTGACCGGTTGATAACATGGTATGATATCAGAACATGTGTATCCAATCAAATTATTAATTCCTATATCAATAAATTAATTCCTTGATAGAACAGGAAGAAGGGAATCAGAATGCTTGCCTTAAGAGTTTCAACTTTCAAGGCTATAACTACATCAAGGCAAATGAGGCAAATGGGCCATGCCAAATTTTACAAAAGAAAGCTAGTAACCATTTAAAGTCAACTGAAAGTGTTGCAAAGAAAGACAACTGATTTCTAAGAAAACAGGGTTATTACTTATATATATCCTACTTAAGGCCCTGAGTTTGACATTTGACTTCCTTGAACTAATATAATTATAACATATTCTATTACCTGTTTCAATATCTTTAATCACTTTCCAAAATATGTTCCTTATAGTTCATTGCACACTGCATGGCCTTGTCTTACTTCAATAGGGCATTTTTAAAACCTTTCTATATATTGTTGAAGTTTTGTTTATGTTTTTGACAAATGTCTTTCGCTATTATCTGAGGGCCATAATAACTATATAGACCTATTAAAATAATTAAACTAAAAATATACCACAAGACCTAAATTAAGAACTGCTTAGGGCAAATGATATCAAAAAAAGTTCTATTATAATTTTCAACCTTTACTGACAAATGTTAATAAACATATAGGTGTACATATCAAACCCAAAATAACTCTTAATGTACTTTGTGTTTTAATGTAATTCTTTAAGTATTTAGATATAAAAATCAGATTTAAGTAATTTATAGTTATGTGTATCTGGATGTCATCAAGGAACCAATTTCCTGTCACTCAAACCAACCTGTATATAGCAGACATTTATCAAAAAACAGAGAGGAATATATAGCTTTTATGACTTGAACTCAGATAGATTCAGTTGGCCTTAGGACTAAATTTAGAATTGCAAGGAATTGAAAAGCTAAATTTAGCATATAAATTCAATTTGGTATCAGAAAAATATATTTATAAACACATTAAACTGCCTGCTTATCTCTTGATTTTTTTAACTTCATGCAGAATTAAGAGGAAATTAAAATTCCTGAAAGTTGATTTGAAAAAAAGTATGGTCAGCACTTTACCTAATATGGTATCTTGCTGGTGAAGTTCAAAGAACATTCAAAAAACTTTCAAATCATCTTATACCTTGAAACTTAATTATCAATGGTCTGCTTGAGCAGAAATATGAACATTATATTCTGGGTTAATGGCTTATTTCATGGTATATCTGTAATCATTGAATCTTATATATATATTCATGTGGATGAAGTCAGGGATTGGTTCCTCTGCATTGCACCTAATATTATAGGTCTATATGATAGGCAGTTTGAATAATGCACGGAGTATAGACTGAAATATTCCAGAAACTTTTGAGTCAGTGGTAGGTTCCTTACTTGCAAAGCGATTCCATGCTCACATTTATTGTATAAGAGCTTTTATTTTAACATTTTGTGGTCTGATAGAAGATACTTTCCTATAGAAGCACTGGCAGAGGTCGATACTTTCCTATAGAAGCACTGGCAGAGGTCATAAGAAGTTTTAATTGTCAAATATACATGTATAACCATAATCTCATGCCTTGCATAGACTGAATGGCTAATTGAAAGAAAATTTAAAATTATGTAGTCATTAATTTGAAATGTAATTGTGTCAGAAAAAGAATATTGCAAGTGACATATTATAATGCTGAAAATAGACTAATAAGATCATGATTATATCCACTCAATTGACCTAGTCATTATAAGAAAATGTCGCCTTAGGCTCTACACTAATTGAGAACAAATCGTTTTTAAGAACTTCTGAACACTTCATGACTGACTTCATAAATCAAAAATGAAATGAATAGTGTTTCATGTCCTACTTTTGTGGACCATGTGGACTAATGAAGACAGGCAAAGCCATGGCAGTCCATAGAGGGAAATTTTGCCAGGAAACCAGCATCAGCCTGCTCTTTTTTGATTTCCAACTATTGAGGGATCCTGATCTCAACCTATGCCAGACTTCATAAATCAGTTTTGTGTTAGACTAAGTTAGAGCGAGATGACAATAGTATCCTTAAAAAGGAACTGGCCGAGGTCATGAAGTAAGAAACACCAACACAGGGTTTGAGATGACTATTGACTACTATAAAAATAAGAGGAGTAAGACTGTTTTAGTCTGAGAATTGGGTTATAACAGATGTGCATTGCCAAATGTTCAATATATCATAGAATGACAATGCCAAATGCAAGGAAATTAGGCATTGCACAAAACCCACAAATTAAAGCCTATATTGACATCTTTCTGAACAGTTTTTGCATAATTTTCTTTATTCTTTAATGTAAGTCACAGAGAAGCACTTAAAAGACAAACACCAAAGAAACCTTTAAGAATACAGTCTAGCCATATACCTATCTATTATATATAAAGCATTATTATTATATCTACCAGGCTGTTCTCCTTTCTATCTTCTAAACAGACCATGGCATATTGCCAATAGGTCTAGGCCGATAAGAATTAAGTAGCACTTGCCCTACTTTACTGGCATATTCATAACATTATCTAGCTTTGAACAACATATATATGTAATATTAATACAGAACAAAGATATATTTCATAAAAAAAATCACCAGTACCATTTCCCATCCTAACTAGAAAGAAATAAAGAAACAACTATATTTTACAAGGATAATAACTCAGGTTCACAGTTAAAGATCCTTTCTACCAGCTGATCCTTGGCCAAACCTCTTGGCATTGATATTTCCCGGATTAACTGAACCCATTTACAGCTGGGTTGACTGGAATTATGAGTGAAGATGACTTATTCAAGGTCATTGGACTTTCACATGCTGATCGAGATCAGAACCCACAGCCACCATTCACTCAACTTAACCGAACAAATGACATCACGTAAATAACAAACGCTCTAACCGACTGTGCTATAAAATCTCCAAAGAATAACCCATTATAGCACCTGCAAGTATTAAAGATGTCAACTGTCATTCTTGGGATTCAACATTGTTCTGATAAAAGTTTTGATTTAAATATATGAACCTAGCAAGTTCTACATAATAAATACATGTAAGATAGAAAAGACTGGACAAGAAAGTAAAATTTTGTCCAATAATGTAGAATTCTATATACTCTGCAAGTAGGTGCATACATTGGGATCTTATTAACAGTTACATTTTCCTATTCAACAAGCAAATCAAATTTTCCCCTACTGAATTCTTGAGCTTCTAATGACAAATTATACCCGGAGCTCCAAGACATGAAAGTTCAAGCATAAGGCAATTAGGCATCATTTTGAAATATCCTTTTGCAGACTGTTCCTGTTCATAATATTTTGGCTACCAATGTTCAAAGTCACATGTAGGCCTATCTATTTGGTATTAATCATTAAAATCTTTATTAACAATGTTTTCTTGACTGCAATGGTAAGTTCTAAAGTCCATCTGACACCATTCCAAGCCTATCATTAAAGGGACAGATGCACCA